GGAACAAATTGTTCTTCTCTGTGATCAATGACAACCAATTTTCTCTGGGGTATCAGAAAGATCAAGATTGATTGAAGCAATGTTGTCCGTAATCAAAAAATAAAAATGCTTTTTGCCCTTAGCGATTTAATCGGCAGATTTGCTGTAGGTCACACACACACTTACAGTGGAATGAGACCAAATTCTTTCAGCGGCTCATGATCCTGTGGACTATATAATATAGATTCGAACCTTAATTCCAATCTGCTTTATAAATGCATCATACGCCTCCCGAAAGGTTGGACATTTTTCTCTGCGAAAATATTTGCTGTCAAGTGTGTGATGGAATAGGGTTGGTAAAGTGAATGCTGGTCTAGTGGATAGCACAAAATTTTGCAAGATTTCGCGCCGGAGATCGGAACCTGTCTAAGTTGCAATTTTTGCATCTTCACCTTCTGTTTGCTTATATTTATTTGCGAGTGAATTAAATTATTGATTCGATGTTTCTTAAGTGATATCTATCAGAGAATAAACAAGCTTTTCAGAGTGCTGGCAGTGGCCCGAAATACGACTTCCAGCATAATATGAACACCGTATATGGAAACTACGAGAGTTGGCCAAGTGATAGATTTTTTCATTTGAATTATCTTGAACTCATTTAAAAACATTGTTTAGGTGCCACTCGACAGCTTAATGATGCGAGTTTCACGAGTTCTCCAGAGCTTAGCAGTTCGGGTAAGTATCCCTTTGATTTAAGCTTACAGTTGACTTAGGTAATGAGCCTATTTCAGCCAGCAGTATGGCTTTCGCGATCCTCACCGTTACAATAGCGGTATTTCTATAAGACGGAAGGAAAGCTGAAGCGAATTTCCTGCACATTTCTGTATATGTTGAGACACTCATAACAATACGGTAGACAACAAGCCAACCTCGTTGTTCGACGTGATATTTTCTCGCTCATACACGCACACAAAATAACATTCCCATTGATAATAGGGGTAAGCGTAGCAAATCATGAACATGCCCACCTGACATACGTCATTCATTTGAAACGCTCTTGGATGCATTGTATGTGTAGCATCGCCACATTTTTCACACAGTAACTGAACAGAATCATTTCGTACGATTGTGATAAACTTTGATTCCTAATATATGGGATACCTCAAGCACTGGCATCAGGGGGTGACATTTGATAAGTTCCACTTCGGCCAATTGCGACGAGGTTGATGATGAGGCTTCATCCACACATATTGATGTGCTAAATGGTTGCATCACCTAAAAAATCATAGTTCGAAGAGAGAATTCAACGATTCTAATTTTCAGACAATCTTTTGAAAATCACAACATTTAGTATTGAAAACTTAGGAAAACTGGGAATGTTCGCTACACGATACGCTTCAGTAGCTGCAAATGTTAGATCTTTTTTTTCTACACAAAAACTATGATATGTTTGCTTCTGAACTATCTCTTTATGCAGTCCTAACTCATAAATCCTTAAATAAGTTGAGAGTTGCCGACAATTCAATCTTTTAACTGGAAATTTGATTTAATTTGTACTTTAGTGAGAAAGGCACAAACTATTAGATGAAGAATATGTATAGGTCAGTCTTCGTAGGCAACTGGCATTTTCTTTGAATTTTTTGCCACAATAGAATCGTTTTGATTTGTAAATTTTTTGATGAATCATCCCTTTGAAGAGCTTCTTGAGGGCTTGGTCCGCCAAATTGTAAATCAGAAGGAATGCAAAAAATTAGCACATGAAGAGTATTAATGAAACCTATCTAATTGCAATGAATGTAAACATTATATAGAATAGTAATATTTTTTTCCCATCTTAAGGATAACATTAATGAACAGACTGTGAGCGAGCATGGCTTGATGGAGATAGATTAACCTTCAAAAAAGTTCC